TTTCCCAAGGCTGTTGTGCAACTTCAACAAGAAGGACTTACCTGGAACCCATTCTCCAATGCCCACTGTGTCTCCTGTGTCAGCTAAGGCTCTGTGTCACAGGTAGGAGGCCCCTACTGTTTAATACCTAGGGAAAAAGAGAGAATGTTAAACGCCTGCAGCTGTGTTCATCCAAGGGGACTAGGGAAGATATACCCTCACTGATTCAAGTGTGAAAGAGCTGTACCAAGGTAAAGTGGCATTGTGGTCACAATCTGATTGTGGTCAAACATGTAACTATCCAGTGACAGGACTGAGCTCCCAATTGAAGTCCCATTGAGGGCGTGCCAGGCCACACCACAAATGAAATTGTGAAATGTAGTCTCAATGACCCTATTTTTTTTTTTTTTTTTTTTTTGTTTGGAACGACAGTCTAGCTCTATGTGCCCCAGGCGTGGAGTGGCGTGGGCCGGATCTCAGCTCACTGCAAGCTCCGCCTCCCCGTATTTGGTTCACACCCATTCTCCTGCCTCGGCCTCCGAGTAGCTGGACTACACGCCGCCACCTCGACCCGGGCTAATTTTTGTATTTTTTTTATAGAGACGGGTTTCACCGTTTAGCCAGGAGCCTCGATCTCCGACCTCTGGATTCTGCCCATCTCGGCCTCGCCCAAAGTGCTGGGGTATTACAGCTTGAGCCACCGTGCCCGGCCCCAATGACCCTATTTCTAAACCCACACCTTGCTTCTCTTTGCCCTCTTACCTCTGTCCCCTACCCCTTTCAGCTCTGTCTACAGCTATACCTGTAATTTATTTCCCCCTTCTGCCTCTAGTCTACCATGAAAACCCCCCAGTTCACCTCCCTCAGAAAGCTTCTATCCCATCAGCTGGGTACAGTGGCTAACACCTGTAATCTCAACACTTTTGGAGGCTGAGATGGGCAGATTACTTGAGGTCAGGAGTTCGAGACCAGCCTGGTCAACATGGTGAAACACTGTCTCTACTAAAAATACAAAAATTAGCTGGGTGTGGTGGCACATGCCTGTAATCCCAGCTGAGGCAGGAGAATTGTTTGAACCTGGGAGGCAGAGGTTGCAGTGAGCTAAGATGGTGCCACTGCACTCCAGCCTGGGCAACAGGTTAAAAAAAAAAAAAAAAGCGAGCTTCAGACCACTTTGGCACTTCGGATCACTTTGGCACTCACTCACCCAGCACTTAGCATCCATACCAGAATACTCTAGTAACAGCACCGTGGTTTTCCTTCGGTGAACCATGCTTCCCACATTCACCTCCCTGTCCCTGGGTCTGGATGTGAGATTCTCTTTGCTGTCTTAAGACCATTATCTGTCCCTACTCTCTAAAGTCTCTGGCATTGACTCTGATGTCATCAGACTAGACCAGCCCTGCTTGCTGCAGCCTTGTAGAGACGCCTGAGTCTCTCCTAATTCTCTGAAGATGCAGTGCCTGCATCACAGTCACTCCCTTTACACTATCCCTGCCATAACTTTTGGTAGTTTCAGTACCTTATAAATGATATTTCAACACCACAGCTTCTAAATCCCTTGACCTCTTGTCCTCCATTCAGTATTCTGAGCAATATATTAGAAATGTAAGTGCCAAGTTCTTAAAATTTGCTGGATAACTGGAATGGTGCCCATAAGAAAGTCAACTCATAATGCCGAAAATCTTGAGGGAAGTACAAGCATCTTGTAGTTTCTTGGATAACACAGATCGTGCGTGGAAGAGACCCTGTTCAGTGTGCTGAACAACATAATGGGAGTATAGGTTTATGGCCTTTGGGGGCATATATTTTAGGTAACGTAAAACATTTGAAATATTGAATCAAACACACATATACAAGTGCAGTTGTATAATATTTTTTTTTTTGAGACGGAATCTCGCTCTGTCGCCCAGACTGGAGTGCAATGGCACAATCTCGGCTCACTGCAAGCTCCGCCTCCCGGGTTCACGCCATTCTTTTGCCTCAGCCTCCCGAATAGCTGGGACTACAGGCACCTGCCACCATGCCCGGCTAATTTTTTATATTTTTAGTACAGACGGGGTTTCACTGTGTTAGCCAGGATGGTCTTGATCTCCTGACCTTGTGATCCGCCCGCCTCGGCCTCCCAAAGTGCTGGGATTACAGGTGTGAGCCACTGCGCCCAGCTTTATTTTTTATTTTTATTTTTTTTGAGACCAAGTCTCTCTCTGTCACCAGGCTGGAGTGCAGTGGCGTGATCTCAGCTCATTGCAACCTCCGCCTCCCGGGTTCAAGTGATTCTCCTGCCTCAGCCTCCTGAGTAGCTGGGACTATAGGCGTGCGCCACCATACCTAGCTAATTTTTGTATTTTTAGCAGAGACGTGGTTTTACCATGTTGGCCAGGATGGTCTCCATCTCTTGACTTCGTGATCCACC